GTTTCTCCTGGTGTTCCCCTGGGAGTGGCACTCACACTAGCATGTTTCACCAACAGAGGAAATACACCACCATTTGTATTCTCGTTTGCACATGGCACAGGGGATGATGAAATGACCACTCATACAGGTTGGATTGGGTCAGTCAGTAGGTCAGATCGTGGCTAAAAAAAAAGGCCAGTGAAATAAGACCACAGGAGACAGGGTGTGCTTTCCTGGCAATAAACCTGACATGCATTCCTCTGAATTTACCGGGCACTCTTGACCACATGGGAGCATGGCACAGTGACAAGGCAAGAGGGCTCTGTGCTGTCCTGAGAGCACAGGAAAAGGGGCAGCCTGTCGTACAATCGTAGAAACTTTTACGTTGGAAAAGACCTTTAAAGATCACCAAGTCCAACCGTTAACCCAGTACTGCTGATACCAACACTAATCCGTGGCCCTCAGCACCTCCTCCACACGTCTCTTCAAACTCTGCAGGGATGGTGACTCCACCACCTCCCTGGGCAGCCCTTTCCAATGCCTGACAGCCCCTTCTGGGAAGACATTTTCACTAATATCCTATCACTTGTCACTTGGGAGAAGGGACCACCCCCACCTCTCTGCACCCTCCTTTCAAGCAGTTGTAGGGAGCGATAAGGCCTCCCCTGAGCCTCAACACTGCCAAGTCCACTGCTTAACCATGTCCCTGAGTTTTTTGAATACCTTCAGTGACAGTGCCTCAACCATCTCCCTGGGCCTGACAACCCTTTCTGTGAAGACATTTTCCTTGATATCCAATCTAAACCTCCCCTGAAACAACTTGAGGCCATTTCCTCTGGTCCTACCGCTTGTCACTTGGGAGAAGGGACCAACCCCACCTCTCTGCACCCTCCTTTCAGGCAGTTGTAGAGAGCAATAAGGCCTCCCCTGAGCCTCCTCTTCTCCAGGCTGAACACCCCCAGCTCCCTCAGCTGCTCCTCACAGGACTTGTGCTCCAGACCCTTCCCCAGCTCCGCTGCCCTGCTTTGGACACGCTCCAGCACCTCAGTGTCTGCCTTGCAGTGAGGGGCCCAAAACTGAAGCCAGGAGTCGAGGTGCGACCAGTGCAGGGGTCCGATAGGAACTCTGCACAAGGCATTTGTGATGCTGCCCTTCCGCAGCACAGCAGTTGAGCATCAGTCAGGATCGCAGATGCTGTGGGAAAGAGCTTTCGGACTCTTCAGATAGTTTAAAGGTATCTCAGACTCTGAGGTTGGAACCTTGTGTCCGGTATAAGAATATTTAAGTGGTTATTGAAGCCATAGGAAAATGTAAACGTTGCCAGCTAACCTTTGCTCCTAAACAAAAATAAAACAACTCATCAGCAAATCTCCCGGGCCCAGATTCCTGGTGTACCAGGTGATTTATCTGCCCATGAGTGTGACCATTTAGAAATCAAGAATCGCTCTGTAAAGACTTACAGATACCATGTTTTTTTTGCATATAAACTGATGTGCTTCGTGTCTAGTAATGGCAGTAGCATGAAACGAGAATACGTGTCAAGAGAAAATAGAATAGTGAAATTTGGCTTCATGCTTTTTGGGCAACTTTGGAAGTTTGACCAGGGTCTTTGCACACCGTTCAGCCTCCCGAGGGCGTGTCCCCGCGTGCTCTCCCGTCTATCCTGCTGCTACCATCTGGTGCAGGTGCAGAAGTGGTATTCAACTGTGCACGGAAGGTGGAGAGTAATGAGGAACTTTTTAAAGGCCTGGGAAAAACAGGACTGACTGAGGATGAGGATGGACCTTCGTGCTTGTGAAGCATGCTGGCGTGGGCAGAGAGAGAAAAAGGGGAGGGGGACTGGTTGGCTGATTCTGTTTGTGCTTTGATGAAGCCAGGGAGTGGGAAATACCCTACATATCAAGAGGGATTTTAAAAGGCAGACAGTCTGATCACTTAATAGTGATCACTTTATTGCAATCATGATTTAACAGGAAAGTTTTGCTATTCTGAAAGAGAACAGGTACTCTCTAATAAATTAGATGAAGCACATAATTTCATGTTAAATACGACTGAGATATACTTATGATTTTTCAAGGATGTGGAGTTTGCTAACTTGAATATGTGTAACTGAATATGCATAAAACTGCTCTCTGTTAAGAGCATAACTGGGAAACAACAGGAAAAATTTTCAGTACATGATCCTCACTGAAACTGAGAGAACATTAGAGAATGAAATTGTGTCACCATATAATTAAAGCCCGATGATGCACACAGACAATAAGTTGGGGCTACATGTGGAATATTAATTCAGACATTTGCTAACTTCTAAATGTTTCATTTTGCTGTGTTAATGATGTTAATTTAGCCCGTGTTATCTACTTTTCGTTACAGTATCTTGGAGAGATGTATTTGAAGTTAAATAGGTAAGTAGGACTAATACACGATTGATGTGCTTTTTTTTTCCTAAGTGACATAATAGCAAATAATTGTGGGAGTATCATCTTGGATATATTGTAAGCAGAATCACTCTTTATCAGACCAAAACAATGCTTTTCCTGCTTCCATTTCAGTCACTGCTGTATTATATTAGGACCAGAATTCTTTTCCTGTGGTTCTGAGTCCCAATTACTTTAAATTCCCAATTACCACTCAAATTAATTACTAAAGAAAACGTTATATTGCCAACTTAAATGCATATTTTGCATTCTTTAGAAAGTACGTGCATAGCATTTCTTTCATCATGCCCTTGCAACACAGAATTCCAACAGTTCTCAGTCCATCCCATCCACAACAAAGGTTTTTTTGGCACTGCTTTCTTCCTACAGAAAAATCAAAAGTGCACGAACAGAAACAAATCCAAGTTGCACTGACCCTTATTCTCTTAGAGAAGGCTGTTCTGTGTGCACGTATAAAAATAATAATCATTCATTAATAAACACTGAACGTTTGTAATGAAGGTCTGGTTCCAAGACCAACTCAGTCTGAGCATCTTCAGTGGATTAATTGCTATGAGATCATATATCTCAGCTGCAGAAAGGCTAAATGGAAGTTTTAATGCGCTGCAAGGCAGCTGCGTCAATGTAACTTATTCCCTCTAGTCAAGCAACATCAATTTCAGAAGCAGCTATTACCCACACCCTTTCTTTTAGGGTTTTTTTTTAATATTATAAATTACTATTACAGAAGAATTGGAATTGGAAACTCTGCTAATTAGTACCATCCTTTTGTATGCTAAGATTTTAAATTATTCCTGATGTGTTGCTGAATCTGTGGGAAAAAAATCAGGTATCCTGATTCTAAAGCAGCACTTCCTTCTCTTCCCTTGGAAGGGCTAAACTTCCCTCAGAAGTGGATCTCTTCTCAGACTCCGGTCTGAAATGAATTTGGCACTGGATCTCTACAAAGATGCAAGGCGGGCAGAGCAGTTGCTCCTGCACAGAGGTGCAGGAGGAGCTCTCCGAAACACGTAACTCTTCGCACCCCCAGCCCCACGCAGCACAGCTGTGCAGTTCAGCTGCCTCACAGGCCTCAACACCTTTAAGGAACAGCACAGGATTTTCTTTTTTTCTTAATTAATTAAAAGGACCATCTGATAGAATATGTAACACACAATCCTAAATTAGGTTAGAGGATTAGTTTAGAGGATTTATCATGTGTAGTGTGCATGTATTCACAGAATGGAGAACAAAATTCTGATATTAAATGGGGTGTAATTTTTGAGGAGATCCATACTTAGTGTCAGAATCTGATGCCCAGTACATATTTAAACTGTCTGGTCTAATCCTTTGTAAATTCCCCTGCCGACGTAACTAGATTTGTGCCACTGCTTCCACCAGCATCTTTAGCTGAGGGAATCCCAGGAGCGTTACCAGATCGTTTTATACACTGCTAGTGTAATGGATGTATCAGACCACTGCAAGCCCAGAGGGGTTGCCCAGAGAAGCTGTGGATGCCCCATCCCTGGAAGTGTTCAAGGCCAGGCTGGATGTGGCTTTGAGCAACCTGGTCTAGTGGAAGGTGTCCCTGCCCATGGCAGGGGGGTTGGAACTAGATGATCTTTAAGGTCCCTTCCAACCCAAACCGTTCTGTGATTCTATGATTCTGTGACTCTATGGAAAGCTGACACAGGTTGCAGTGGAGCCAAGGACAGGAGTTCTGCCACAGGTGGATTTGTCCATTCACAGCATCACTGGCCTGGGCAGCAGCAAGGTGACTTGGTGGTTTTAAAGCCAGTTGTACCCACTGGAGTTCTACACAACACCCGGGGGGCTGGGCCAGTCTCCTCAGGTCAGTCACTGCCCGGAGGAACATGACCACAAGCACTGTGATGCTGATGAGGGAGAGGATCTTCCACATGCCTTTGTGTGAGCATTTCCATCAACCTAACAAATCCATGGGAAATGCTAGAGCACTGGTTCTGCAAATACAGGCACCGTACCTTCTGTTTTGAATGCTGCGAGATGTAATTAATTTACACAACGTACTTTTAATTTCTGCAACACAAGGATAAATAAGACAAAAATGGATAGAAAGAATTTGGTTTTCCATATGTTTTTGTTTAATGACAGTTTTAATAAAGGATATTAAAATGCATAGACACAAGCCATTCTCAAGGAAAAGCTGTTCGTTTTAGTGTTTCAGCTCAGTTTAACTTTAGGGTCACTACCTCTGGAAACCAACGTGAACTATGGTGTGAGACTGGTAACAAAGATTTCCGGGGCAGAAAATATGAAGTTTAACTTAGTCTGTATGATACAGCACCCTCCTGAGGTCTCCACAGGCATCCATATCTGTCAGACAACTAGAAGGCATGGGTATTGGAAAGATTTTGCCTAAAAAAATGTATTGAATCAATGCATCTGACTTCCAGGTTCTGCTAGAGGAAAGTATTAACAACATGGGAGCCACGAACATGTAGGGTTTGGGTAGGGCTGTGAAATTTGTACTTCATTTGCCAGGAAAAAGTTAGCCCAGTACTAAGGGTTAACAGTCAGGATTCAACCAGTGCAACTTGTTTGGAAGCTAAATGTTAAAAAGATTTAAGTAAAAAGCTTATATGCCTCTAACATAGTTTCCAGAGTTGCTAATAAAGCCATCCTCTGTTCTCCAGGGAAGAAAGATGTGCTTGCAGATATTTCTGGAAGAAGCTGTGGTAGCTTTTCAAAAGCTTCTCGCTCTCTAAAATAAGTATCTACTAACCAATCTGTAGAAAATGTATTCTTCATCTTACAGTTATCAGGAGCTATTACTGCAAGTATATCTGAGCAACCTCCCTGTCTGAGAGTGAAAGTAAAGGGTGAAGACAGATTATAAACTGAACAAAAATTCAGCAGCATCTTAGTAAACAAAACAAACCACAGTTCTCTTTGCTGATTGCAAAAATCTTGTTCTGTGTGTTCATAGAAGCTTTCAATGTCTTCTTCTGGATGAACAACATTCAGAAGTTCTTGTTTCAGTGGTATGGACTCAACGTAATCCAGCGGCAATTTTCCATTGGAGTCTCTCTGCTGCAGAAGGGCCGGTCCTGCAGGGAAAATATAAACCTTAATAACAGCAGCACATTTGATGTGGCAACCACACAAGATTTTGGTTTGTTTTTGTTTTTTTTCTTTTTCCAGAAACTAGGGGTCTGCTGAAATTCCCTTCCATAGTTACATTGCTGTAAGTGATGAGTTACGCATTTGCAATGCCATCTAGAACATCGGAGATCCTTCGTAACGGTGTCTTTACGGCACTCTTAATTTTCTTCCAGTTTTTCTAGGTTAAAAGCCAAGGAATATTACACAGAAATGGGAAAGAAATTCAGATGCTGTTTATCCCTCAAGTTTCAAGTAACGATACACAGAGTATGTAAAAATGTAATGTTATGACTGTTGTAAAATTCTATCAAGTATTTAATAGACCAGGTTATTTGCTGACACTGACTCCAAATCAAAGGCATGTTACTGTGATGGTCTTTATTTTACTTTCCTGGATGGTGTGGTCCTAGGCTAGGCAGCCAGGTAAACTACTGAGGTAGTAATGCTAGCCTCCCCTAACAACAGAGTTTCAAAATTTGATCTTAACAGATTTCTGAAATGAAAAGAAGAATAATGAATAGATTTAAAGTAAACGGGACATGTTTTACTTGTTCAAATTACACTACATTCTTTTGTTATTTCCTGTTTATTAGTACAACGGAGCTATTAGTATTTAAACAGTTTACAGATGTCTTGCTAAGTTTTTGAAAGGACCCATCATTAAGGAAAAACGAAGGCAGTTAATACACTACAGGTGGTGTTTTTCAAAGATGAACACATCAGGAATCTTCTTATGTGAATTTGGGTTACTAATCTAAAGTAATGATGCAATTTTAACCACATTTTCCATATATCTTGATTACAAAAGGTAGTTCATGGCACTACATATCCATACCAGAGGTTCTAACTTCGCTGTGATTAAAGCTGTACTGTTTTAGTCCATCATTGATTACACAATATAATTACATTTTGTAAGCTGAAGGTTTTTTAGAGGAAGAAAGTGAAAAAAGTCGTTCCAGAGCTATGTTGTACATTATTGAGCTGAGTAAATCCACAATGAATGGGTAACATGCCTTATACCACAGCCTTGTCAGCTATTTGACAGGCCAAAACCCAGAGTGTGACAAAGGCAAAGATAAGGCTACATGCAGCCTTACAGTTGCCAGAAGACCTTGATGAATGCAAGTGCAAGCAGAGCTCTTCCCCTAGGACAACAGGATCATCCACTACCTATTCTTCACGACAGCCTAGGAAAAATGCACATCTGTCAGCGCAGTGCCATTTCCAATTGAGGAGTTGGGCTTACTACAATATTGGCTATTGCATCACTTAGACCGATTGAGCTGAGGCCGGGTATTGGCTTGGCATGTCAGACACAGGGTTCAGTAGATATATAAAACACCTGGGAGCCACAGAACTGAAGCTCAGCAAACAGAGGTAGAAAGGCAGAGGAATGTATTGATTGTGAGCCAGTGCTTGCACAACAGACACAGAAATAGCCTTTAGGGGGCAGGAGAAGACTGTAAATAGAGGGTTTATGCCAAGAATGAAACAAAATTTTCCTGCTCTACCTTAATTAAGTAACAGGCCATCTAAATATAGAGCATTCTTCCGCCTCAAGGCTGCACGCATAATGATTTTTACTGGTAAAATTCTGGACACAGCACGTAATGCACAGAGCTTAAACTGATGCAGTGGGTCAAGGGTAAGGGTATCGCAAACGCTCATCTTCGTAAATGGATTAAAAGAAGGAAGAGTTGGTACGCTAGACTGTTCTTTGCAGTTGTTTTCTTTAAAAAAAACATGCAAAGTTAATTATATTGGCACAGTGTATTTCAAGACAAGATACAAGTTCCCTGTCACTGAACAAAAAATATTGTTCAAAACATTTGTAATGTGTCTGCCTAAGGGGCAATGTATCTTTTTTTAGATACTAAGGCATCCCTCCCACTATTATCCCTAAACAGCAGTTATCACAATTACAATATAGATTCCTTTCTTGAAATAATTACCAAGCTAATTGTGTTCTTCAAAGACCATCACACTAATTTTCATAAATGCTGAACAAATTTATGTTGAAATACATGATTATATAGAGATTTACTGATCTATTTTTGCATCGTGGTAAAAATAGATCAAAACAAAAGAAAATCCTTAGCTCTGCTTGGTGACTAGGTAATCTTTATCTTTACTAATGAGTTTGCAGAACAGTTGCAATGCATGTTGTAAAATGCAGAATAAAAACGTTACCATATTGGAAAAAAAAAGTGAAAGTCCTGGTTAATTAACAAGCCAAACAAGACAAGTGTGAAAACAGTATTATTTTTATTGTGACCAAAACAGCTTGGCTTAAAAATGTTTTAAAAGAAATATTTAATAATAGCATTGTATTTTCAGCAACTGTTAAGAAAAACAGCACAAAGTTTGTATGGACAGTGGATAATTTCCCTAAACCAGTTTAGCATAAATGCACTCACCCCCATGCAGAAGTAGCAGCTTGCCAATTTCTACATGTCCATTTGACAGTGCATCATGCAAAGGAGTCACCCCGTCCACTTGACTGAGCAGGTCTACCTCTGGACAACGTTGCAAAATTTCACGGACACACACTGTGCTGCCATGGTTACAGGCTTCATGCAAAGGCGTCCAGCCAGCATAGTCTGAATTATAAATCAAGGGAAGTTTTAAAACAGCAGAAGTAGCACTAAAATGTTAATAATGTAATTCATTAGACAGCAAAACACTTTACTTTTTAGTATTCATCATGGCTACAGAGGGAGCTTGTGAATTCAAAACAAGAAATTCTATTGCAAAACAATAAAAGAAGTAGCATTTTTAAGAATCAATAGGAAGTGTGATGTTAAAACACACTTTTGGTATAAATTAACCTTTTCTCAATATTTGCTATAAAGCTCTCATTTTGTGCTGTTTAAAATAATAAAGACAGTTTTAATTAATAGTGTAGAAATTTGAATTCATTACCAAACAGATATTTACACAGTTCTTTATCTGGCTTAATTTCTTAGTTCTGTAGAGAAAACAAGTAACTTACCTTTAACATTAATGTCTGTTCCAGGGACAGAGAGAAGCTGAATCAATCTCTCCACTTTGTTACTTATGCAAGCTTTATGCAGGTCTGTCTCTCCTACCATAAAAAATTAATAGATTACACTAGACTAGGCAAGATAGCAACTAAAGAAAATAATCAAAGTGCCTGGAACTAGGAGACCTGGCTATACGCCAGAAAATTCAATAATGAGTAAGATTTTCTTTTATCCTGTTCAACCATCTTTTAAGAAAATTTAGAAAAAAAACCCAAAACAAAACCAAAAACCCACAGAGCTTCTGTTTCACCAGATCCAGCAATGAAATTGCACAGCAAACAGTTTAACGCAGGAATTATCTCCCCTCAGTTCAAGGTTTAAAGCTTCAATCCCACTATAAAAGCACCAAGTGATCACAGAACACCAAAAATACTGGGTTTTGAAGCAATAAAAACTTTAGAGTGCAGTTGCCCTCCCTTAAATTTATTCATGAACCTACGTTAAAATGTATGGTTCTTTTTACACAGCATTTATAGCTTAATTCAAATGAATGTTTCTGGCTAAGCACGAGTGCCTCTACACACTCAAGTATAATTCAGAACTTCAAACCCGTTAACAGATGGTTTGCTGTTTCTCAATAGGCTGTCTGACTTGGCTACAGTAGCAAGGGAGGGGGGAAAGAGAGAAATAAATGAAGGGGTCCTAATAATAACAGAGAAAATCCTATGGAAAAAAAACATCCCAAGCCTTAGGACCAGGTAAAGCTGAAGTGTAAAAAACAGAACAAGCAGCTGAGAACTGCAGCTGATACGTAAAGACACCATCAGCTTCTGCATGATAAAAACTTCAGACCCATTCTAAATGCTGCTCTGCGTTCACTATATGATTAGGATTGAACAACAGCCAAAGGAAAATCTTGATGCCAGGTGAAAGATGATGCAACAAACATCTTAGATATGAAAAAGATCTTAGGCTAAATCTCTCAGCTTTTGCGCTAAGATTTACATGGTATATTTTGTTATATTAATACCTTCACCATGTAAATCTGTCAGCTCCGTACTCATTCTTTCAGCAGAAGATACTACTTATAATTTTGGCAGGGGAGGAATAGAAGAAACACAGGGTGTTTTGGTTTTGGGTTTTTTTCCCCTCTAGTCCTTCAGCTCACTTTTCTTTGTAGAAGTCAGCATGTAATAATTCACATCAATTTTACTTGCAAAAGCAATAAAGAGAAAGGGAACCAATTTTAAAAATGCATGGTCTGGCTCTGTTACTGAAGCTCTCTTAAATCCCAAAAGAGGGTGAGGGTTTTTTTTGTCCTTCAGTGTTTGTGACACAATTCTGTTTTTAATTTTTTGAACAATTCCAGCTTGCTTTTGCCATTTCTTTTTCTAAGCCTTCTCTTGGGTGTCATACTCACATAGTTGTGCTCTAAGTGATACAGGTAAATTTCTGATGATGATGATGACTAGAAGTAGTTCCAGCAAATAATTCTGTTCAGATAAAGGATCATGTAAAGTACAATTTATTAGATTTGTGTAGTAAGTAGGAACCGAATGAATTACTGCAGTGCTGTTTTATTCTGTAGGTACTTGGGTTCCAGTATAGCTAAGACAAAAGCCAAATGCCTTTCATAGTCTGGGCTGAATGCCTGGAAGAAAACAGTCCATATGCTTAACACAGCTATGTAACATAGCATACTCCTCAGTCTTTGTTCACAAAATGTCTAGGACTGAAAGAGATGAAGACTGAATTATACTTTCAAATCAGAAGACGTTGATCCTACCAAGCACAGGTTGAGGTGGATTAGCAAAGTAAGGCGGGCAAGACTGGAATGAGCTCACACAAGCTGTACACTGTATTTAATATCTGGGAGGGGGATGGGAATGAAGGAGGCAGCTGTATTCCACCATATATACAATTCCCCCCTTTAAACAGACATTGGAAAGAAAGAAACACAAACTGTAAGAAAATAATTCTTGGGCATAAGCCATCGTTTTAGTTCAGCATTCATCAGGGTGAGATTTTTAAACCTATGGCCATCGACTGTAACCATATAAACTTCTCACCATAAATTAGATATATAGAATACCTTTAGTATTTCTCCTGTAAGAGTGTCCTCCTTCAGCCAAAAGGTAGCAATTCATTTTGGTGCGTGTAGCGTCGGCTTCTGCTTTAGCTTTAAGCCTCTCTGTCAATGGAGGGCACTTCCTAACAATTAAGTCACTGAAAAGAGAGCAGAGGGGACATATCTAAAATCACAGTTTTATATTTTAAGATAATGAATATGTACTTACTGCTTTTAAATAAGTATATGCAGCATACTTAGATCTGTCCGTTTCAGTTACTTCTGAAATGTCTTAATGACATCACTTACACGTCATTTAATTATAACTGTATTTAAAACAATAATAAAATTAAACTACCTACAATGAAACTTTCTTTAAAGGTAATTCCATGAATGGTTCAACTTCTCTATGTATCCTTTAAATTTAATATTGGGAAAATATAACTAGACCAGCCTGCATATACACTGAGATGGAGGATGGGGAGAAATGGGGAACCCCAGCCCAGAGGTGTTACAGGTTTACAATGGAGTTTTCTGTCAGTAGCAGTGATTTGTAGACAACAAAACAGGTCATATAAAGTTCAAAAAAATGTGTCAGGTCAGCAGCTGTCCCCCAAAGCAGAATAAAACTGGTGATGTTATAGGTATTACTTACGGTAGATCAGGCAGCACTTTGACTTCATTCTGGTTATCGCCATTTAGCATCTGTACTGCCCTTTGAGACTCGGGGCACGGCCATTGCCCTATTTTCTTTTTCTTGGTGCTGTCTATCTTTGTCTCATGCATCCCTACCTCTTGCAAAACAGGCAAATAGGAACAGACCTGTTGCAAAAGTAACATTTTCAATGACTTTGTATATATACAGTACATTAAAATGCAGTCATTTACTGTTCTTGCACTTCATGCAAAGCAGTCATCCATCACCCACAGCTTGCTGTATTTAAGTTTTAAAAAATATGATCCCTAAATATATAGATTGTTTAAAGTTGTCTTCTGAAATCTTTTTTTTATGTTCTTGTAATTCACTCTTTATGCTGGCCTCAGAGGTGAGTGAGTTGTGTCTGAACCAGAAAGTGAGAAATTCTAGACCGCTCTCTGGAGTATTTCGTAGCTGAAGAAAATTCTGATCACTTTAGATGGACATAAGATTGAAGAAAAGCAAATGGATTCTCAGGTGAATGAATTTACAAGCTTCCTGCTCCCAACCCAGGGAACAATTTGGTAAAGAAATACTCCCCTCCTCCTCCTCTTCTTCTAAGATGAGCGGCTGAATGAAGTCTGGGAGCATTGCAAAGGCAACAAGCTAGCTCTCTCATAGCTGTTCTCTCACTATACCTTTGGACGTCACAGGTATTTTGGCTTCTTTCCAGCACCAGAGAGCTTCCAACCCACTTACACTGCTCATTTTAAAGAAGTAATATAAGTTTCTGCAGTTTGGCAAAAGCATAGGGAAAAGTCCAGCAAGGGGACTCACTCAGTGATTACAGAAATACTATATCTGAAGAAAGATATTAAAGAAAGCTGTAAGTATCTAGCAAATCACTGTAGATTCTGCAGGCAACTTGAAGTGGGTTAGGGACACCTTACTTGCACCATCACTACACATTTACCACCAGAGAGTAGGAGGTCACTATTTGAAGCCATAGAAAAGCCTGGTGTTACGCTGTTTGAGAAGCGCTGGCAGAATTGGACAAAAGTTAATACTCATTGTATGGAATGAGAGAAGAGGGACAGTAATGCTAAGGAAAGCCACAAAAAGCACATGAACTTGATGCAAGCACTACAAAAATTTACATTTAAGTAGTTGCACCACCAGAGAGTAGGAGGTCACTATTTGAAGCCATAGAAAAGCCTGGTGTTACGCTGTTTGAGAAGCGCTGGCAGAATTGGACAAAAGTTAATACTCATTGTATGGAATGAGAGAAGAGGGACAGTAATGCTAAGGAAAGCCACAAAAAGCACATGAACTTGATGCAAGCACTACAAAAATTTACATTTAAGTAGTTGCAGAGCAAT